ATCTATACTACTAATATTCCTTTGAAATATTGTTAAACAACCTAAAACAACGAAAACCAATTCACGATTCTAAATAAACAAGTACCAAAATCAAAGCCAGAGTCTAAATATGTATAAAGGAATACCAACCAAATCAACAAAACCCATCCAAGAAAATGCACAAATCCGAAAATGAAAAGAAAAGCCAATATAAATCCATTCAACCTTAACCAAATCACAAAGCAAATAACAAACAACCGAAATCGAAAGCAGGTAGTCGAATAAGCAACGAAATAGAAACAATTTAAGCGTATAGGTACCGTATGCACTATAAGTTGACGCGCGGCTCAACGGCGGGAGTTAAGTACATGTCAGGAAACATTTCGTTACCGCGTTTTAAAAACCTAGTAACGACATCTAGCGGAATCAATTTAAACTATGTATAGTTTAGTTAATAAGAACTCTCAAAAAATATTTTTCTTATAATTTTGCACAATTTTTCAATTATAATGTGTTTATGGAATGGAATAATATGTTTTTCCGCTGAAAAAAGCCTATGTCACTCTACAGCCACCGAACTATCCCCATACAAAAAATCATGCCATGCCGACGCTCTGTTGCGACGTGAAAGAAGGACATAAACTTGTGCAACATATTGGATTTTCCCACGGGAATGAGATGTTTTCCGCGGAAAAAAGTAGCCTATGTCACTCTACAGCCACCGAACTATCCCTATACAAAAATTGCCATGCCGACGCTCTGTTGCGACGTGATAGAAGGACATACTTTTGCAACATATTCGATTATCCCACGGGAATGAGATGTTTTTCCGCGGAAAAAGTAGCCTATGTCACTCTACAGCCACCGAACTATCCCCATACAAAAAATCATGCCATGCCGACGCTCTGTTGCGACGTAAAAGAAGGACAAACAAACAAACACACTTTCGCATTTATAACATTAGTATATGGATAAGTATTATAAATTATGTACATAAACTAGCTAACTCTATGCTACGTGCTGGCACTTTACTATACCTACTTCTTTATCGATATTTGTCTATGACCAAACTGAGTGTATTGTAGTGTCAGCAAATATTAGCTTCTATTTAATGATATATTTATTTAATTATTTTTTGCCCTATTGTCCAAGCAAACCAAGGAATTGTGATCATTTTTTGTATAAGCTTTACGCTTTTGTATAAAAACTAGTATTTATTAAAAAGTTTTTAAATGAATATTAGCTACCTTAATTACTATGACCAGCAATTTTTTCGGACCAATATGACTTAAGAACCTTCAAGAGAAGAATAGGCTTTGCAGTGCTTCATAATTCCTCAGGTTTTGTGAATGTTCATGGGCATCGTTAGTCACTCATCGCGAGCCGTAGCCGTGTTGATTAAAATCAGTGTTGCAAGCAGGTTTATTCCCGAAATTGTTTTCAAATACAGTTCGTTTTTCGATCTAAGTTGAAAGCTGTTATCAGCACCGTTAGGCATATCCGAATATTTTATATTATACAGAGATCATTTCAAATAAAATTATGCTGTTTTTCGGTACATTTTGTGACAAAACTAAATCAAATCAAATATAACTAAAATCTACCATTTCTTTGGTTCTTCATCTTTAAATGATAGTGACTCTTTTGTTGAAAATAATAGTTTTTTATACCGTAAAAACTAACTTCCGCTGTCATTTTCTACGAAATTAACGATACCGGCTCGAGTTTCGGTGCATTTTTGGTATATTATCAACATATATATTAAATTTCTAAAAATACTGTATGGAGGCAATTTCAATACAAAAATAGTGGTTATTTTTTATCAAAATGTCACGAATAGTCGTAGAAAACATAAAAACTGTTGCATATTTTTTCGCATAGTTTGCTAATACGGATGAATGATAATAAAATCAAAGGATGAGTGCTATTTTATTTTTGGTGCCTGTTTTGATTTATTGCACAAAGATTTTATTTGTGTATGTGACCCGTGTCAATGTTATCGTTCGATTATATACCTATCAATTTTGTAAACGCGCCCTTAAATATTTGGTTACATAATAAATAGGTCAAACTAATCAAAAAAAAGTTCGTCGGTCTTGTCGCATACGTTTACGAGCGCCATCTAGCAGCGGAAAGCTGAAGACCTTCGTTTGATACGAACCATCATTCGATTGTGCTTTACTACTTTACTTGACGTTATCGGTATAAATGAAGTCGAATAAAATTCGATTGATTTAAAATTCGATTCTGTCGGAATTAGGCGGGATGAACCCCAAATGTTCAAGGTACAATTTCTTCGCTTCGCGCTTCAATTTTAGATTTCCGAGCCTTTAAATGTGTGATATTATATAGCCACCCTGTAATGGCGGCTTAAAAAAATCCAATACGCCATGTTGTTCTGTGGCTGTCGTAAGAGCCACAGGACAACTTAGCGTATATGTAAATAGACAGAGATGCGCAAAGAACAACAACAAAAACAACTAATAACAGCTTAAAATAATCAATATTTCGAATCCCAAGACACAGAACAGGTTTGTTCTAGTTTGGGGGTCTATCGGAAAATATTTGTATATTTTTTCTTGAACATTGTTTAACTTACAATTCATTGTGCATTACGAGAACTAAACCGATAAGTCAATAATAATGTATTTATTATGACCAAAGAGATTTAAATATATATACTACACATACTTAAATGTCTATGATTATGACAAATATGGAGGATATTTACTACGTGGTTACCTATATGCTGGGGGGGGGGGGGGGCTATTTCCGTCAATGGAATTTAATAGATTATTATGAATGATTAATATATATATATATATATATATATATATATGTGTGTGTGTGTGTTTTTAAGTAATATGCACTAAGCTTTAATTTTATGATCGTTCAATCGATTTACCTACTAATAATAATTAAAATACTGGTTCTTATTCGTGATCGAACCAGCTCTGATGGTTTGTTTTATCTCTTACATTTACAAACACATTATGCTAATCATTCATGCCTTTTTATGTTATCATTCTTTTCAAATCTAAGGTAAAATGGATGAATCATAAGAGATCTAATGACAATGTTGCAAATAAAATGATACGCTAAAGGTGACATTCTTGACCCGTGATAAAATGTTTGATTTTGATTTTAAAATTACATTATGTGAGATTAATTATTTTTATATTCTCATATATTATAAAATTTAAGACCAGTTATTCTTAACAGTCACTTCATCCCACATTTTGCACAAATATCACTTTTTTCATATACAGTACCAACCGAGCACAGAGTTCACTTATTGGGAGGTAAGTGGACGTAACTTTCCTTGATATATATAATTCAAAGGCATATGCGTGGTCACTCAACTTAATTTTAATCTTAACTTTAATATATTATATATAATTATATAATTATATTTAATATAATTGTCTTAAATATTAAATCTTAAATCAATTTAAAATGAAAAGATAACTGCGCGATCACTTGTGAGGGCTAAGATAGAAATCAAGAATATTAGATGTCACACTTACTTTTATAAAAATTAATACAGTATATCAGAATAAAAAGAAAATATTTAGTTGCGATTACCTCATTCTCAGAGGCTATTTAAATGTATGCATTGTAGTATTATCATAAATGCAGAAGATGACTTAGTTACTTCTTCTTTTCTTCTTTATATCCTATAAAAGTTCACTGGACAAAAGCTTCTCTCGTTGCAAAGAGAATTTGCAATAATCGCTACACTTGGCAATGAGATTAACGGTCGCAATACCTATCAGAAGTCTCGCACCTTTGAAGCTACTCGCAATTGCCGCTATCTATCGTTAGCTATGAGAATTTTCTGGAATTGCCGTAGTCGCTTCTTATAACACCAGTATGGAATAAAATGGGTAATAGATTATCTTATGTCATCACCACATTGCAAGCTTCTAGTTTCACTAAGAACCAAGATGACTGAGGTCCACATCGAGTAGGGGTTATAGAGTGTATTGTAGACTCTATAATCCCTACCCGACTCTATGACCGCATACTGTAGTGAGTCATACGTCACTATTTTCCTTAATTTCTTAGACCTGCAGTTTCAGTTTCATATCAGACACGGTGAATCAGAAATTAAAATCACAATAAATAATTATTTGATAGATACAGGGTGTAATTTGGTTTGGTCGCGTACTTACTATAAATAAGGTGAGCATTCATCCTCTACGCTCGACCTGATATTAAAGTCTGCCTCCATAGTTGGGGCAGTGTTGTAAACTCGTCTCTGCTCTAAATCCCTCTCAGTATGTGAGGCCTGCACTTAGCAGTGGGACGTACTTTTTACTTAAAATATACATTTAAAATAACGGCTGTTCGTTTGAATGGCCTAATTGATGACCATAATTTTGAATTATTATTTTAAGATTTAATTTTTGTATAACATAGCACATAACACAAAATTTCCTGAATTCAGACTCTCATTTTTTTCAAATCTTACTTATTCAAGGTAGTTACCTTGAATAAGTATTACCTTACTATTATCATATTATTCTGCAAAGTTTTAAATGTCAAGCTAATTTTGGTTAGTTACTCTTTACTTTAAATCCAATACCTACAATGTTGACACCAAATAACACCAGACCTTGGCTCACTGGACAAGCACTGACAGTAATATCCACGTTATTAAAGCGCCATCTATATATTTCCTGTGGAAATATGATACTTCTTACTCCGTTTAAATTCAACACAACTTACTTTCCATGTAGCTTGATACATAAGCGATAGGTGGCGGTAAAGACAGATATTAAATATATTATTTTACGGTATATTAGGTACACAAAATAAATTAAGCTCTAATAACATATTTTTATTAGGTACTAACTTGTAAATAAATAAATATATTCACTGATTTTCAATACGCTATAACAAATAAAAGTTTTAATTTATTTTTCTTAACAAAATTTACCGTCGTATACTCTACAGCCTTTAACAATAGTACCTACTTATGTGAGTTAAAAAATTAAATAACTACAAGATTTTTTTTATTAGAGACATTCAATAAAAAGTGGATAACAATCTTTTAAATTATCATCAATTACTGCTTTTGCTATTGCTGAATGTGTATTTCTCAGTTTTATTTTTGTCTTGTCATTGAAAACAACCTCATTAAAAGAATCCACTATAAGGTTGTTATGAGGGTGTGTTATCATTTTATCAGGCATCGGTAACTGTTTTGCGTGGCCACTTATGAAGCCCAGTTGTCTGCAAATGCCTTCAAGATGGGACTTTGTGTGGTTTTGTGAGGAAAAACATTTCGTGTACCACACTCCGTGAGTCCGCACAATCACCTTTCCCGTACCATAACTGGAAATGAATTATTATTCAAATAACATACGGAACATACGACTGAACATAAAAATGTAAATTCAGCCACCATCACCACAGCCGGACAATCCTTCACCTCTTGAATATATATAAATAAATAATTATTAAGTCGGAAAAAGCAAATACTACGATAATCGATATCAAAGTAATTGCAGTATAATCATTTTACGTTGTTGCTTCTTTCTTACGTTGTAAAGTCGCGCTGCAGCGAAATATTTCTACAGCACGAACACGGTCAAAATATTTGCGTGAACAACAACATAGATAATTGTTGCTGTGTTTCTTATGATGAGAGATGAGAATCGGAAACCATTTTTATTGGTAATGAAACATTCCATTATTCGGTACTTAATGTCAGCTACAGATTTATTATCAGCGAGAAGAGTCAAAGATGCATAACATCTGTTATTGTGATTATTCCAACCGTTTGTCATGCGAGGTGATTACGGAAAAGCTCTTTGCTGTGAAAATCTTCATTTTGTCGGAAAATCCAATCCAAAAACATATTTTTCCGCGTTTGGATTTTTGGAAAGTAGACTGATGAAGTAATATTGATGATGATATGATGAATTATATCAATCAGTTATTAATCCTTCTATCCCCAAATAAATCCCATGCAGTCGCATGCGCCCAGCAAATCCCGAGCGGTGACGAGACGAGCGAGCATGCGACTTGCGACACCCGCAGCACTTAAAACCATTAAAAGTTATATTTAGAGACTACTTTTCTATGAAGAAGTTTAGCATAATAAAATCTATACAAAATTCTCTATATAAAGTCAGGTTTTATTTCATCACGAAACGACTATTGTATTTTGATAACAAGAAAAAAAACATACCAAGCGAATGTCGGTAGCATGAAAATCACAATTATTTCAATATATATTACTCGAAATTATTTACGTAAAAAGATAAATTATATTCACACAAAAACTTTCATTACAATTTTATAATAAAACACTATACTAAAATACTAATAAAACACTAGAAAAATTCAAAAATCAACACAATAACATTCATGCGAAAATGGTGTACGTAATGAACGTAGATTATAAGTAAATATCCATAGGATAACTGTTTTTTTTATTGCACTAGAGGATAGAAAATTTTATATTGATTCTATAATGCCAAACTTCTTCATAGAAAAGTAGTCTCTAAATATAAGTTTTAATGGTTTAAGTGCTGTGGGTGTGCGCCGTCGAATCCGACGGCTTGAATTTTGACGGAATAGCGCCGCGGTCGATTTCGAGAAGGGTTAAGTCAACTCTCACGTATTCCCTAAGTTTTTTCAGTCCACCTGATGTTAAACGACGGCACATCATGGATACCTGCAACCAGCTTCGCACAAAGAAGACTGCAAGTTCTTTGTTAAATATGAGTATACAGAACAAGAGTGATAAACTAAATCAACTGATCGTAAGTGGATGCTGTGGCCTGTAGACATCATACATTTCTATTCTTAAATAAAAATTATGTGTAGATACGTTATCACCCCTGAGGACTAAGCCCAGATAATTTATAGAAGATTATATTTTCTATATTAAAACCATTATTTTTAGACCAAAATGAATTTCATTTTATAATTTACTAGCTAAACAAACAAATTAATATTCATTTTGATCCATAAAATTAAAAATACTTCATGTTGAATGAGCAAAATATTTGTAGATAAAATGTATCAAGTGTAGGTATGATGTTAGATATATTTACAATGTATTTAATAGGTACTTACGGTGTGCCCTGAGGAGCACTTAACGCAAGACATGTGTTTTCATCTTTTCCATTAGGACAATCACGTATACCGTCACAAACCATATCAAAAGCGACACAATCACCTTCCACTGAAGTTCCATTACACCTGTATATGAATAATTTATTTTATATTTTTATTTCCTATAGAAGACAAACGCTTAAATTATTATATACATGCAGTGTGATAAGCAATTAGAAGATATTAATTACGTATTTGAACATTAAAACAGATAATAGTCTTATCAAAGAAGTCAAGCTTTATTCCCTTTACCTTTCTTTTGTACGTATGATGTATAGGAAATTAATTTTTTTTAAACATTCTGTTTTTATGAATTTAATTATTGTCATCCTACTTAAGTAAGGAAACAATAAGAATACCTTAAAAAGTGTACCTACATGAAACTGTGCCTGGCAAAACATTTGCAAAACTTAGGATTTTCATCACTCCTATCATGACAATGAAGTATTCCGTCACAAAGTCTCGAAGGCATGACGCGACTGAGGTAATCGGAACAAATCGTCTGACCAGGCTCATCAGTACCATCCTCGCAATCGTCTCGACCATCTTTGAATAATTCTTTTGGTATACATTGACCGTTTTGACATTTTAGTTGATCAGCCGTACAGTCTGTAATTCAACAAATTAAGGAAAACTTAAAGTTACAGCATAATATATACATTCCACAGCTGGGCACAAGCCTCCACTCATTTGTGAAAGGGTTTTTAGGGCAAGAGTGTGTTATTTCTACTAGGATGCTCTTAACGCGTATTGGCAGACGTTATATTATCATCATCATAATTATTATCATCATCATTATCATCATCGTTGTCATCATCATTATCATCATCATTATTATCATCATTATTATTATCATAATCATTACAGTCCATCATAAGTAAACTGTTGAACATAGGGCATCTGCACCCATCGACTTTCAACATGTCTTACCAAGTCATCACTCCATTTAGTGGGGGGGGTCGCCCCACATGTCGGACTTCTCACTTGCCCTCGTAATTTTTTTATGTCATCAGGAATACTCACGATGTTGTGCATCACCGCGAAGCACGTAGTAAATCCGCACTTAAAATTGCAATTAACAATTTATTATTTTGGATTTGCCGTAATCGTCACGTTTAAAAAGTTAATTGGCGATTACACTTTCATAAGGTTTGACACCTTTGACTTTGCTCCCCATCATTAGCAAGGAGGATAATAATTACAGCATCATTAGTGTGGATATAATATGATATCACTGCCATGTAAACGTTCTAGTAATACCTAACTAGTAGACTTTTACACACGATACCACGGGAGGAGATCCCATCTTCTACGCCAATACCACACGGTGGTAATACGACGGCACGGCCACGGTTAACTAAATAAAAATATGATGTCAAATGACAGCCATAATGATTTGTTTTAAACTATAAATAAGTTTAATAATACAAACCAAAGAGTAAAGCTTATTTTAAACATTCTATTTTAACTAATTTAAAACTGGTTAAAACTACTTTTACGGATTTTATCGCAATATTAAAATTGAACGCGATAAAATCCGTAAAAGTAGTATTAATCAAAGTGTATTGTTCGCGTAAATATAAGAAATCGTTAATTTAAAATTTCTTGGAGTTAACTTTTAGTTTAAGTAAAAAGAATAATAACATTTACCACATCCACCGTGATGAGGATCTTCAGAACAAATGCGAGACTTTTTTTCGCAAGCTTCTTTGGATTCATCCCTCCCATCTTCGCAATGCCTTATTCCATCACAAGTGTTACGTAATTTTATACATCGTCCGCGTCCACATCTTTGTCCCTCACATTCATCAAATTGATCCATATTCGAGGATCCTGGATAGTCAATATCTATAAAATAAAAAAAATTATTATAAGAAGAACTTTTTTCCCTTGACTAATAGTGTAAAGAAATTTAATGTACCTTTTAAAAACTTCATTTCATTTTTAATATTTCCAATATCAGTACTTATTATCCTGTTGCTTATTCCACATTCTCCCCTGCTATCTACGAACGAGGCAGCAGGGTACCATCCCAGGTTAGTATGACAGCTGATAATTCCAGCCCAAGGTCGTTGTGACATTGTGTTTGGCTGCAAAATATTTTGAATATGAGATAATATACATGGTTATTTTGCGAAGAGTAGCCAAATTTTAAACTTAAGTTCAAATACAATAGGTCCGCTGCCAAGCCGGCAACACTCAAATCCGCTTCTAATGGCAGAACAAAGATCTCAATACCAGTTCAAAATAAATTTTTGAACCGATATATTAAACGAAAAAATCATTGTTCCAATTGAACTACCCGGAAATTTATTATATAGACAAAACTATTTGAATTTTCTACAAAATAATCTGCCAAATCTAATGGAAGAAGTGCCTGAGGAGGTGAGACAATCCCACTGGCTACAAAATGATGGTTTTCTGCATATTATGCTGCAAACGTCCGTGTGTATTTAAACGCCACGTATCCATAAATCGATTGGTCGTTAGGGTCCTATTTTGTGGCCTCCGCGAGCCCTGGACTCAAATCCACTAGATTTTTTTAACTGGGACTGTCTAAAAGAACTGGTGTACTTTAAGTCTATATCAAGTTTGAAGGAATTGCGCAGTTGTGTGCAGGAAGCCGGTTCAAAAATAACTGAACGGCGCTAATACGCAAGACTTCTTAGAAGAGCATTTATTAAAAGACGTCGAGCTTGTATCAGAGTTGGTGGCAGACAATTTGAACACCTTTTATGAAATAAAGATTGATTTATGTACATCTTAACGCTTTTATTAGGATAATTTAAGACAAGATTTTTTCTTTCTTCAGTCGAATTTATTATTTTTGCATCATAACGTTAAATAAAATTATGTATTATACCATTTTGTAAACTGTATTAACTGCACATATTTTTGAAATAGTTGGCCACTTAGGTCTTTATACTTTTATTTTCACGAATGGCTTTCAAACTTTTGTCAAAATTTTTTTTGCTATAAGAATTTTAACACTCATACTCTTTACTTCATTTCTAATAGAATAGTCTGTGAAGAATAAGAGAACACCAAAAACGCAACGAATTTCATTAATTTACGGCAGTGGTGTACATGAAAGTACGGTACGCTCGATAAAAAACATATTTTTTTAAAAACCTTCATATTTTTGGCCACACTTAACAACATTTTTTTAAATATTTTTTAAAGCGCATGATACCGTTATTTTTAGGCGCTCCAGGATTATCCATTCTTTTTAGGACACCCGATGTATACATGGCTGATTTGCATTTGAGTCGTCCTGTAGAAAATTGAACGTTCTACAAAAGAGGTTTCTTATGATTTTTCAACAGAGTAATTATAGTCAACCAGATCTAAGAAATACCTTTTGACGTTTCACATTAATCATTCCGCAATAACTTTTCACAAGCGTACTCACACGATTTAAAATAACTTTCTACGTAAATCCGGAGAATTATGAAGTTATCTATATTTCATTACAACGTGTGTAGTTTTTTATCACTAATTTATATTTGAATTTTTCAAACAAAGCAAAATATTAAAAAATAACCAGTATTAACTTTTTTTACTTCACGTCCTTTCAATGATATGTCGCTATTTATATTACCGTAGTGTTTCGATGATTAAAATTAATTGTTATGCGAATAATCGGCAAAATATTCAAATAATCGGTAAAAATATTCTAATAATCGAATTTTTAATTTCTTTAAAGTATTATTTGTGTTATTTAATTTTTATTTTCAAAATTCCTTAAATTACATGAATCATGAATAAAAAGTTTATTTTTTTTTCACTTTGTCAAAGTAAATTAGTGTAGGCAAAAAACTTATATACAAGGCTACTACTAAAATAACTACTACATAATTTCAACATCCCGCCATACCAGTTACTCGACTCCACAGAATCAGTAAATCATTCTTGAGGCGATGTATTCGCTTTTACAACAAAATGCCAGAAAATATACAAAATACTTGCGTCATATATAAGGTTCGAAAACTTTATTAAACTAAGTTTGTATAAAAATGGTTATTTTAAGTTAAGGAATTTATGGAATAATAACCCCTGGGAAGAGTGATCGCTACCAAGCTATTTCTAATTTGTTTTGTGTTGTTAATTGTAACACGCATGATTGTAAGCTCTTATTCTAAAAAAAAAACTAGTCCCGTTGGGTTTCTTGCTGGTTCTTCCCAGGACAGAGGGTTTTTTTGTGAACCAGTGGTAAATGAAAAAAGTGACTTCCAAAAATTATTATTCATAATCTCTACTGAAAAAAAAACTTTCTGTTTCTGTTTCTGTTTCGAGAGCTTACTGTGCGTAATTTTGCGATTTTGTGTTTGTCTTCTTATTTTGTGACTTGGCACTAACGTTTCTTCTATAATAACTTTTTTACTTGTTAGAGTTAGAGATAGTTGTAGCACGAATGGGTCGGCTCAACCAGGGCAAGACCACGCTCTCACAGAATACCGGCGTAAAATAGCAGCGTAAAGCTGATGTGTTTCGTATGGTGAGTCTAGAGAACCGGAGACCCTTTTTACTGGAAACGACGCATTCCATCTTAGTCCTCAGGCGTGACAACGCATTTGCATTTTGATTCTTAAGTACGGATAAATGTGTATCTCTATGAGTCATAGCATCCACTTACTATCAGGTAGAGTGTGTGCTCGTTTGTCACCCAATGCTATAAAAAATATTTGTTGAAGCATTTGCCCATGTCACAAAGGATGATTGGGCAAAAGTGGTAGAAAAAACAAGAAAATTGATTATGGATGACTTTGAAAGAGACAATAATTTTGATTGCATTATTGAAAATAAAATAATAATTAATATAAACAACGACATCCCTGCTAGTTGTACTGAAACTGATTGAATAAATTTATTTTTAATCGAGTTTCAATCTTAATTTTTTATAACTGTGCCTCTAGAAATAAGCAGTAACAACAAATACGAAGAAACTGATAAATCTTGTGTTTTAAATTATCCCTTTTTAAGTTATTATTCAAACCAAACTGTAAATGATTACCAACTCGAAATAATCGATATCGATTTTTTCAAGAATCGAATATTGTACGTCCCCATCTTTTGGTTGGCATGCTTGGTGCAATAATTCTGACAGCTGTCAAAATGTATTTCTTAGATTTGGTTGACTATAGTTTAAGTTTAGTAAGTTATTGAAGATCAGAGTTTAGCTCACTATTAATTTGCCGATTTTTGCGTGTTGAAACGAAACTACTCAGTTTTATCAAAACCCGAAATTTAATACGAAACATAGATATAAAAACGCACCGAAGAATATTATATATATATATAATGTAAGTAATATTATGTTGCTTGTAAATTCTAAGCAGTTAATAAAAAAGTAAATGTTAAAATGTAAAAAAAACAAACGTATGATTTACAGATACTTACAGAGCAAATGCTGGAATTCGAACGTAGTACAAAACATCTATTATGAGCAGAACAGTTGTGTGTTGTTTCATTCACCAGCACGCTTATTGTACTATTACTTTGATCTTCACCTACTGCAATACAAACGGTCTGATTATCTTCTGGTACATACCTAAAATAAAATAGATTAATTAGTAATAGAAGGTTTTGTTTTAAGTTCTATTTAAAATTTTATTATCAGTGTTCTTAATAAGAAAATTACTTACGTAAACGTTGTTGTCATTGGTTTTACCATACTGGAATATTGAGCTTTATCATTCAAATGTAAAAGAGTAACCTTACTACTATATAAATCCCTCTTGGCATCCACTTGGAATATTTGTTCATAAGGCCCCATTGTTGAAGTAAGGGTTTTATGAGAACCAAGTATCACTGCAATATACTGGCGGCTGAAACTTTTTATTTTTTTATATCGAATCTTTTTTATCGAATTTTTTTTTTTAATATAAATATCACTTAATTTTATAATAGGTCTTTACCCATGAAATTGCCATTCTGCAATACTGGCCATTTCAAATCAAAATATTTTTTCTTTGGCGAACAATTCTAATTTTAAATTAATTTTATTTTTATAACATGGATTTTTTTTCTAAATTAGTCATTTGTTTATTAATTAGAGTTACGTTTTCATCGCATTTAAATCATTTTTGTCTTCATGGCTACGTTTAAAATTTAAGTAATTATGAAATATGAGTGTATATAGTGTATACAGTGTACAAGTGAAAATTCGATTTTTATTATTGGACGTATCTTGTCATCTTTTAACATTAATGGTAAGTATATACATTACATTGCATTATTTATTATGCTAAGATGATTTAAACGTGCTGGCGCTTTAGAAGAGGCCTACGTAAAGTATTTGACAGTACTGAATAATTATGAGTGTGATGGTGTTATATAAGTTCGTGAACAATACTTACAGGGTATTCCACAGACATGAATGGCTAATTAAAACCCACGAAAGATCTATCAAAACCCCAGTACATTTGTATAATCCATTAACATAAATTTTTGCAATCCATGGCAACTCAAAGTTAAAGTTGTTTTCTGTTTTTCGATTAAAAGACACTTCTTGAGTAAGATGAAAATTAGTAAAAAGTGACTGATCACAGAAGACATAAATGGTCATACATGTCTTTGTTATATTTGGCACACATTGTTCTTTAAGAACTTCAGGTTCCTTGATTAACATTTCTGAAGGTGGCTCGTCATTTCTACTTGCATTTATATAAGTGAAATGTACAGGCGACTTAACATTTCTTTTTTTCCGTTTTTGTATTATATTTCCACTTAGTAAATTTTCTTCTTTTATATTAATATATTTTATTAGATATCTGTTGGCAGAACTGTAAATAAAAATTATACATATAATTTCACAAGATTTACAAATATCGTACTTGTGGCGTTTATTTCTCATACATCATACATTTGGCGTATGAGAGACCAATGCCAACAAAATATATTAACAAAATTGTAAAAAAAATTATCCTCAAATTTTGTGAACAAAAATAAAAAAATCAGTAGGGAAAATACTTAATAAATAAAAAATGCGGAAAAATACTAAGAGGACTCGCCCCATGAGGGTTCTGTATAACTTATGATATTCAGTCATACGTATAACTTTTCCGTATGACTTAATTATGTATCATCGTAATATTCCATTAATCCCAGAAATCGTAGGCAAGGTACAGACTTACGTTTTGTTAGAGCAACATTGTTTTTACAAAAATTGAGAAATAAACATAACTTTGCAGTGGAAAAAAGTGGTTAGTATTTAAGTAGTAAGTATCTGTGACTCAGAAAAACACACTTGATCTATAAAGATGACGGAGAGACGGAAGAATGGAAGGACGGACAAAAAGTGATCCTTTAAGGGTTGTGTTTTTTTTTAATTCCTAATTTTAAAAATTATGAATTAACATTGTAATATATATATACAGGGTGTCCGGATTCCGATGTCCGATACTTTAAGGGGTTAAAATACAATTAATTTTATCGACAAATCAGGGATGAATGATTTTTTTTTCGCCATCAATAAAAAAATGGCAGCACTTTAAAAAAATTGTTGGCGAAGCATAGATGCTTGTATTAATTTAACAATATCTACCCAAGTAGAAGACTTTCAAAAACAAAATTGGTCTCAAATGTTAGTTAATAGTGTAGACAATAAATCTAGATTCAAAATATTATTTTTTAATTTTTCAGTATTAGTAAAAAACATTTTTGAAAAAATAAATTAGACAACAAATTGATGTTGTTTTTCAGATTCTTAGCTTTAAAAAAAAACCATCGTGTTAACCAATTTTTTTTACTTGTTTTTATTATAATACAGGATATTTGCTATAAATGCACATTTAAATCTTAACTCTGAGTTAGATAGTTTAGGAGCTATGATAATTTGAATGTAACTGTTCAAAGTGCCTCTACCCCGATATTAGATAACTAAACACCCATTCCAGTGAGTAAGATAAAATTCTTCAATAATTCAAGGAATCGTAAGCAAACACAATAGCATCCTTTGTGTGAGCAGGTAAAAAACGCTGTGCACAACAGTGCGAGCGAGACAGAATAACGGCTGTCTCCAGGTAAAAAGGGTGCAGTGTCCGCTTGTGCCGTCGAGCAGTCGTCCCTCGCTCTGCGTTGGGATAACATTCCTGGTTTTAAGTAAATCTACTTACTGTACATAATTATTGTTTGTTGTTAGACTTTGTTACGTTTTTGTTTTGTTGTTGAACTGTTACTTTTTGTTTATTACAATGAACGAGTACTCAAGCCAGCATATCGCTGACATCCATTTCGTGTATGGATTGTGTAACGAGAGAGCAAATAGAGCTCTTGTGGAGTATGCACGCAGATTTCCTAATAGACGTACGCCGAATGCTCGCACTTTCGTGAGAATTCATTTGAGACTTGCGGAAAATGGAATAAGAAGGCTCGGTAACGAACGTACTCGTGTTTTGTCGCTCCAAGATGAACATCAAATATTGCAAATGATTACTCAAGACCCTAGCCTGAGCATTAGACGCATAGCTAATCGTCTCAGTCTATCAAAATGGTCGGTGTGGAAAATTTTAAAAAGAGAAGGATTACATCCTTACCATTTTCGAAGGGTGCAATAAATACTGGAACCGGATTATGTAAGAAGAGCAATATTTTGTTCGTGGAATATGAGAGAAACGCGATATGATCCAAACTTTTTAAAAAGAATTATGTGGACAGACGAAGCTACTTTCACGCGATCAGGGTATACGAACTACCGTAACGAACACCTGTGGCTTCAAGAAAATCCACATGCGATCCACCTAAGTTCTTTTCAACATAAATTTTCTGTCAACGTTTGGGCCGGAATGATTGAAGACATTCTAATTGGACCAATCATTTTACCGGAGACAATGAATAGCCCAAGATTCCTAAATTTCCTGGAAACGAATTTTTTGGATGCTTTATTGAAGTTACCATTGGCCTACAGGGCCATAATGATTCTGCAATTGGATGGTGCTCCGGCACACTTCGCGCTTCTTGTGCGGAATCATTTAAATGCACACTATTCGTCGTGGATCGGACGCGGAGGAACAATTGCTTGGCCACCGCGGTCGCCGGATTTAACACCTCTCGATTTTTTTTTGTGGGGCACACTCAAACGAAGAGTGTATGTAAATGTGCCAAATACACGAGAGGAGTTAGCAGAAAAAATAATTCAAGCAGCAAACGAATTGCGAGAAGACAAGGCAATGATCCAGCGCTCTACGCAACACGTTGCACTAAGAGCAACAACATGTCTGCAGAGACAAGGAGGTCACTTTGAGCAGTTTTTGTAATTATTTTGCCAAATTAAATGCAATTGATATAAATTATTTTATTTATTTCATTTGCTAGTGTATTCGCGCTTTTCAAGTAAGTATGTTTACACTGTCATAGCTCCTAAACTATCTAACTCAGAGTTAAGATTTAAATGTGCATTTATAGCAAATATCCTGTATTATAATAAAAACAAGTAAAAAAAATTGGTTCACACGATGGTTTTTTTTAAAGCTAAGAATCTGAAAAACAACATCAATTTGTTGTCTAATTTATTTTTTCAAAAATGTTTTTTACTAATACTGAAAAATTAAAAAATAATATTTTGAATCTAGATTTATTGTCTACACTATTAACTAACATTTGAGACCAATTTTGTTTTTGAAAGTCTTCTACTTGGGTAGATATTGTTAAATTAATACAAGCATCTATGCTTCACCAACAATTTTTTTTAAAGTGCTGCCATTTTTTTATTGATAGCGAAAAAAATCATTGATCCCTGATTTGTCGATAAAATTAATTGTATTTTAACCCCTTAAAGTATCGGACATCGGAAACCGGACACATTGTATATAGGTATATCCGCATACTTTTGTTGCTCCAGTGTTTGATAGAAAATATTAATAAAAATGATAATGACGTTTCAATTAAGGCTAACTTGAACGAGTTACATTTTTAAATCTTATGAGAAATAAACTAACTTTATCACTAAACTGCAACTCGCACTCGCTCACCCCGCTGGTTAATAAACGAGGTTTTGACGACAAGATGATGTCCATTTAAGATTGAGAACCAGTATTCAAAATAAAAAGATAAAAGTAATACTTTACGCAGCGTGTTTAAATGTAAGGAGGCATCTGAATTAAATAAATCAGACTCCGAAAGAAGAAAAGAGAAGGGAGTAAGATAAGTACGGATGAAATAACGAAAGCAATTAAAATCGTGAAAGAATAGAGGAAGCTGGGTATAATATCATTAGAAATGCTGAGAGATGGTGAGGAAGTGGAGCAAGCCTTCTGTGTTTATTTTATGCTGGGAACTTAAGAGCGAATATCGGCAGACATGCAAATACGATATGCTCGTAGTCTTACTAGAAAAGGCAAAAGGGTGCCGACAAAATCTTCAAAACTACATTGAAAACCTAGTGTAAGTACTTTTTTGTTACAATCTATATACGTCCCACTTCTGGGCACAGGCCTCCGCTCATTTCCGAGAGGGTTTTACTCATAGGTCAGGGATATGTCCTCTCCCAATGCGTGCTGGCGAACTTCACATGTGTTCGAAATATTTTGTTTCTTAATTTTCTGACGTGCAGGTTTCGTCACGATGTTTTCCTTCATTGCCAAGCACGTGGTTAATCAGCACTTAAAATTGCAATTAACAATTTGATTGGTGCCGACGGGGATCGAACCTGGTTTGCTCGCGTACTATGAAATTTACAGCGAGCGCTAATCATCTGAGCTACCGCGGCTAGCATAATGTACTTATCATTGACAAAAAACTGTATGAGAGTTATGAAAGAAACTGATGAAAAATAGGGGATGTAGAAGCTGAATTTAGACAGTGGATGGGGGTACAGATCAGGTCTTTTTATGCCCATGATTCATCATGAGAAAGAAATTAAATGAAAGATTTCTGTGCATTTTTGGACTTGCAAAATACCAAGGATAGAGTGGACAGGGTTTTAATCTCTGCCTATTCATTTTGATGTCTAACGTAATAGATTACGTTATGTTCCTATGTAGATATATTGTCACCTTTGTGGACTATAAGAGAAAGTCTCGTGTCAGTTAAAAGTAAAATTTATTTACATGTATTCCGATTGAAAAGGAAGGTTCTCTTAATTGGCAGCTCCGTACCGCTAAGTGGAATGTAGGTCGGATGCCCACTTCTATTTGGAATGATAACCTGGATCCATGACCATGCTCTCTGTATGATGTCGATGGATGCAGGTGAATCGAGACCGTACAATGGCGTTTTAACAAAAGTATATGTTCAGTAGCAAAGGATATAACGGTGATGATTAGCATCATCACATTCCATTAATGAAAACTATATTTTTAATATTTTAAAAGAAAATTTTCCTATAAATAATATATTATTTCCTTTATATTATATTTATTTTATTTTCATATCATAATTACTAAAAGAATATTAATTACTCGTTAAGAAAAGCTATAATTAAAAAAATGCTCTTGAGTATAAGATCTTGAGGTTGGCAGCGTATAACCGTATGAATACATTATAATGTAGGAAAATTTAGAGTTCCAATGAGATTGTTTGTCTACATTTACCGAATCACTAAGGTGGGTGTCTATAATTTTGTCAGAGTTTTCAGTCAAGGCCGTGGTAGCTCACGATCTTAGCTATCGTTGTAAATTTCACAGTACGCGAGCAACCTGGGTTTGATCCCTGCTTGAAACAATAAAATTGTTAATTGCTATTTTAAATACTGATTCACCACATGTTCGACGATGAATCTAAACATAGTGAGTAAACCTGTGTTGTGATGTGACAAGTTAAAACGTATTTGGACCCTAAAACCCTCTCAGAAGTGAGAGGAGGTGTGTTTCCAGCAGTGGGACGTATATAAGCTGTAACTTAACATTAATTTGTCAAAGTGATGTACGTTAAATACCTAAGCTATTTTTACACTGTGAGAAGATAAACTTAAATTAAAGCTTCTATTGTAACTTGTTCATAAATAAATAGATAAATATACAACTTTTTATGGTAATGCTTTTTTATGTGGCCCAAGCTTAATCTTAATATATATAAATTACGTGTCACGTTGTTTGTCCGCGATGGACTCCTAAGCTACTGAACCGATTTTAATTAAATTTGCACACCGTGTGCCGTTTGGTCCAACTTGAGAGATAGGCTAGTTTTTTTGTCCATGAGTGACCCACAATTGTCGGGTCGGGTCGTCGAAAAGGGCAGAACAACGTCTGCCTCGCAAGCTAGTATATATTAAAATAAGTTAACAATCATAAACTATGAAAGAGTCAATCTTATTGCACGTTTGTAAAATAAATATAACTCAATCAAAATTACTTTCGTCTCAGACCAACAGTAAAAATAAATGCAATACATTTTTTTCTTCATTTATTTATTATTCAAACAAACAATATAAGCTTACAGTACTGGACCAAATCGTTTATATGTTATACTATACATAACATGACATTTTATGTGATCACTTATATAAATTATTCAGATAGTATATGATAGTATACACATACTTTCTAATTACATCAACTTTGTCTAAAAAATATCGGCATCCGGCTTGCCTTGTAAAAATCTATTTGCAAAATTTATGGCTTTAGCGGTAGGGCTGTTCCTGGCATGAGATAAGCTCATAGATATAAATGGATAAGCTCCATGTTGGGGGGTAACAGAAAAGTTGCCGTTGCAGCCGTCCGACTCCGCGCATATAATGATCAGTCACATAGAAATGAACACATTCGTGTACCGATGGATTGTCCAGCTTATCGTTAAGTAATAAATAGTAATGGAATATTAGTGTATATTCTCGTTTGAGCTGTAAAGTATCAAGGCCAACCATCCCTGACACGAACATGGAAGGGTATATATAGAGACGGGTAATATCCATATAGACGTTTGTAGAGCTCATGGAAGGCCACTGCTGTTTGAGTGTCGGGTTTATTCCGTAATAGAAAGGATTGGCCTTAGTTAAACATTTTGCGGATTTTCGAAGACGAAACACGCCCTAAGTCTTACACCTTTGACGCTACTGCGTGATGCCGTAAATGCCAATATATGATATATGCCATAGTCATGGTCATTTATTCCATAGAACTATATTACATTGTATTGGAAAATTAATATCCGTCCGATGTATAGTAATATAACAACGCCGTAAACAAGATTATTGTATTATCATGTATTGGATGCCATAAGACCTTTCTGACATTTTCCATAGTCGCCTATTACGTAACCCACGTGGTGAAAGATTTCCTCGCGCCACTTTTACTATTTATTTATTTTATACGAAAACAATGTGTAATGTATATAGCCTGTACGGATAAAGACTGGGAATAGATAATGCGGCTCATAGAGCCCGTACCGTCGACATGTACAGTACCAATAGCAAAAACCCGTTAATAAAGATATATCGTTATCACGTTGTAGTATTTTGGTTAATTGGAATTTTTCTATTAATGAGAAAATATTTGAAAAATACTACACGCAAGTAGGTACATATATTTTATTGATTAAAACTATTTTTACGGATTTTATCGCGTTTAATTTTAATTATTTTTAATTCCCGACTTTTCGGGTGCTTTCCATCACCCATAGTCACAGGGGACTGAGGTGACTGACGTCCCGGTGTCATTGTTAAACCCGGACTACCTTCAGCTTTTTTAATTATTGTTTATGGTCCAATCTTTGCAAAATGAACTGACTGTGTCTTGAAGTCTTGTAGTGGTGTAATCAGGTAGTAGTACCCAGCCTCCTTCTCTATTGAAATTAGAATGTTTTTTTCATTTCAATAGCCTCACGTATCATCCTTGGTAGGAATCGGCGTTCTTTCGCGAGGATTTGTGGTCTATCAAATCTGATGTAATGGTTGGGACCGTCTAGGATATGATTTAAATCAATGTGTAGTGTTCGCGTATATATAAGAAATCATTACATTTATTTTAAAATAAATTTATAACTAGCGACCCGCTCTGGCTTCACCTGGATGGTTTCTAAAAATTTGGCGTTATTTGGACTTAAGATAATCATTAAAATCCTTTTAATTTATTATTATCAATATTTGTATTATAATAAAATCTCAAAAATTTTCAAATAAAATTTCTCTATTTGTTTGTCAAGTTTTGTTGCAATCGGTTCAGCCCTTCCGAAGATTAGCTTGGACAAACAAGCAAACGAAAATTTTAAAAATGGTTACTTATTTTTCAATGTCATGTAATTTTTAATATCATTAAATTATGAAGAAAACTCAGAACGGGTCGTAGTTCATAAATTAAAAACTGGACTGATTTTTTGTGGTTTGTGGCATTTTGTTATTATTAATTTCAATAGCGTATATCGCAACATAATTTTTTGCAGTCTTTATCGGTGGGTGTGAGTATAGATAGCGACAGTGTGCGAGCGAGAGATGAATACAGGCGTCGTCATTTTCATTCCCATTCTTTAACCGCACGGGTAGAACATTACATTATTATTTGATATGATTTTCAAAAACCTATTTGAAGGCAAAACAAACCGTTATAAAACAACTAATTCTAACATTTTAGTGCAAGGTTGACATTTGAGAAAAAAGGATGTAATCTCACTTTCACCCCAACTGTTTATATTTTTTAATATTATTGATATTAGTAGTGCTAACACTACCAATATTAATATTGTTAAACTCCAGTCTATTATATTTACTCCTTAAAACAAATACATGTCAGTTACTTGTTTATGCAAACAATTTAAATTAAGATACACAAAATAAAATAATAAAAAGTGAACATAAATTAGGGTAAATTAATTATATAAGTTGCAAGTTAGCTGGGTAAGAACAATGTTTCGAGTAATGATTATGCTTAAATTTTGTTAATTATCAAAAAACTTACCGAAATCCTAAATAATGACAAATATCATTTGCATTTTGTTCTTGTTGTTGTAAAGACAAATTATCTTCACAATAAATTTGCCAGTCACCTTTGTGTTTTACTGATACAAATCCATCTAATTTTAACTTTGGTCGTCCATCAAATTCGTAAAAGATTTCTTTACCATTTGATAAAGCAACTAGAACAGGGCGTTTTGAAGCACATTAGTAGAATGTTTGGAATGGTAAATTGATTAATTATATTTTAATTACATTTACTTACAACAATCCTGTTCATCTTCACCATGAGGACAATTTATTATTCCATCACAAACATATTGCGATTGCAAACAGGTTTGACTTTTCTTGCATAAAAATTGATCTTCACTACAAAGAACTATGATTTTTTTTAGTTTTAAACGAAAAAAAGTAATTACTAATCTTATATTAATATTTAAAGAAACTTACAACAGTCGAGTTCGTCTTCTCCAGCTATGCAATCAAAATTTCCATCACATACAAGATTTTCGTTAAATGTAAGCAAATAATCTACACATGTACAATCTTGTTCGTCCGTACCATCTTCACAGTCCGCTTTGTTGTCACAACGCTTATCAAAAGGCACAGATTGATTAATGCTAAAAAAATTATATCAGAAATTAACTTACTAGGGCACGTTTTCAATAAAAATATATATACATACATATATATATAAAAGTTCGTTACCGTCTACATTGAAATTCTATTGGAACTCGATGTTTATTTAGAATTTTTGCAGGAAGAAGTTTTTCTATTTTATATGAAATATTCTGAGTTTTTTCATAAACAGTAAAATCAGATCCGTTTTGGTTTTGTACATTATAATGATGAGTCATTTCCCCTAGACTACTTGTCGGTGGATTTGTTATTATAACATTTTCTTCTAGATGATTTGAAATTTCTGTTAGAGATTCAGAAGAATGCTCTTCAACGTGTATCTTACTTTCTTGGTTTAACATAACTTGAAAAGTATTTTCTGTTGTATTCCCACCATTATTCCATTTAGAAAAAATAATCTGATCCAGTTCGTGATTAGTTGTTTTCATTTCATTTTGCTCTGTCGATTGGAATAAGCTTTTTAAAGTTGTTACTTCATCATTTATTGTTGAAATTTGGTTATTTATATTTTTTAGAGAAGCAAAATTTAAAGACGCTGTGGTTTCAGTAGTTGTTTTATCTTCAGATAGTTCACTCGATTCCTTAAATTTATTAGTGTTCTCTTTTACATGCGATGATATTGTTTTCAAAATATTATTTGGTTTATTAATGAATATTGTATGTGTATCCAATATTTCATTGGTAGTTAATATTATAGGGTCAAGAGTTACTTGTTCGTTCGAAGTTTGTTTCACACTTGTTTCTTCAGAAGTATTATCGATTTCAATAGTTGACGCATGCTTTAAATCGTTTTCCAAAGATGTAAGGTATTGTAAAGAATTATTTATATCCTGCTTAACCGTTGAAATTATGTCTTCAGATTTTGATGTATGTATTTCTAAATTATCGAATTCTGTCACAGTATTCAGTGTGTTTGGTGTAGAAGACAAGAAAGAAATTTTTAAATTTTTGTCTGTATTTTCACCTTTTTCAAAGATGTCAGTTACTGTTTTTAGTTTTTCGTTTTCGATTTCTGTTACATTATTACTTTCGCTTAAAGTATTATCACTAAACGTCTTTAGATTCTTGTAATCACAACTGATCTCATCTTCACCACTTAAGCAATCAATTATTCCATCACACATTCTTCTTTTAGGTAAGCATTTCGTAATACCTGATTCACATCTAAACCCTGGACATTCCTGTTTCGGCTGTATTGATGGTAGACCATTTGAAACTGTTAATAAATAAATGTATTTAATTTCATTTTCAACTATATTTTTACTATTAATCTGAAGCATTCTATATTGTGACATACAAAAGTTTTACTAAAGCATAATGATTTTGATTGACATTTAAACGAAACTAAGTTTTACGTATTTTATCGCGTGTATTAACTTACTTTAAATTCTTGACGTTTCGAGTACTTAATAGCACCCATGGTAATGGGAAGGACTGAGGTGTTCGATGTCTCAATGTCATAGTTAACCACGGCTACCTTCAGTTTAAAATTGTCAACTATTGGTCTGATCTACGCAAAATGAGCTTATAGTATCATGAAGGCTTGCAGTAGTATGCTTGGGTCCGGATATAATTTTATTAATTATAGAACCGTAAATAGCCTCGCAAATCATTTTAAAAGGAATCAATGTTTTCTAGATAGGATTTGTTGTCTATCAAATGAAATGTAGTGACGAGGGCGCTGTACGTATTCACAGAACGCAGACTTGACTTGAATCGACACTCTGGAAAGTCTCAGCGTATATCAGATCAAAATTGAGTAATTTTATTAGTTAATATACGCGATAAACTTCGTAAAACTTGTTTTCTTTTAATAAAGCAAATTTATACTACAGAGAATGAAAAACTGAACTTACGAATATGAAATTTTATCCAGTCTGTAAAAATACTGACTCTTGTATAAACACCCGGTTCATTTTTACGTGCACATCCGTCGCCATGACTGACAATACCAGCTACAAACCATTGCTGTGCATTTAGAGGATTTCTACATAAAAGGGGTCCTCCGCTATCACCCTGAATAAAAAAACAATAGTTATTTTTGCTATTATTTTATAATAATCGTGTGAGAGCCTGGGAGGAGCCTTTTTTCAGCAGAAAACAGCTTTAAGCTAATCATTGTACTGATATGGATGATATGGACGTTTTCATTAACATAACAGAATTTAATTGTATTAGAATCAATTAGAATGAAAAAATTATCACCTAACAACAAAAATTAATAAAATAAAACTTTAATAAAAAGCGAGACCCTACTTATGTAAGTGATAGAGTCATGCTGAAGCTATATTATTGTTGTAGCCCGAATGAGTCAGCTCAACCGGGGAAGGATCACGTTCTCACAGAATACACATATAAAATAACAACTTAATGCTGCTGTGTTACGTATGATGAGTGTAGAGAACAGGAGACGCTTTTTACTGGACACGAGGTGACAAGGCATCTGCATAATGAATTTTTATTGAGGATAAACGTAAATGTCTCTGTTACAGTATGCACTTTCCATCAGGTGGACTGTGTGCTCACTTGTCACCCTTATTCTTTACGAAAAGACCTTGTAGTACTAATAAGAATAAAATAATATTCCCATAATAGCTTTTGAAGTCGATACTAAGACAGTGTATTCAAGCTGATACTTCAGAAATAAAGACTAAGTACTACACGAAAATACACTAGAGACTAACTAAAGTCTCCACCTTTGAAGCTAATATGAAGATATTACAAATTTTGTTAGCTGAAGTCAATGAAAATTTTGTTTTGATTACTTATTCAAAGTCGTCTTGAATATACTATTCAATGCATTAATAATATCAAAGTGATACTAAAAGATTTAGAATGATTATTTTGATAAATATGCTCTAAATTTCAGATGCCCGAGGAAGAAAGCTATGAACCGCAGTTTTCACGTGTTTTTCTCCTTCCACTGCAAGTTAAGTGATATGAAGCTAACAGTAGCAGTAAAATTGCTCAAAATCATATGAACTGTTTTTTCGTATTAAAAAAAATTACATATCTCGGTATCCTCCCGTTTACACCGTTATAACAATCTTTAACATGTACATTTATGTAACGATTTCTAATATTTTTTCGAATAATATAGATTAAATTAAAAGTATTGTACTTTTATTATGTAAATTAAAAGTATTGTACTGTTGTAATTTTAACTTATTAATTCGCGACGTTTCGAACGCTTTAAACACCCAATAGTCACGGAGGGAACAAAGTTAAAATTAAACCCGATAAAGTCTGTAAAATTAGTTTTATTTAATATAGTATTACAAACTATAGACGAAATACATTGGTTATCAAAGCAGGTAATTCATTTAATAGATTTTCTAAGTACTATGATAAGGTTTATCTTGTTATATACCAACGGTATATAAATCGTATAATCGGTATACAAATGGCGAGTAATTCGGCTATAACGTACATACAAATAGAAATCCGGTCATATTGAGAACCTGCTCTTTTTTTTTTTGGAAACGGCTTAAAACAAGATTGCGTTATGACATAGTGTTTAAAGCACCAGATTGTTAATTTTCTTCGCTTTCGATTTCTTTAAATTACCATGCACCAACTGCTAAGAAACTTCAAAATATTTGCTTATATTTACTTCACTAGAGAGGCAGGTAAATGACGGCAGAGCCAACACCCTTTGATTTGTCGCGTTAAGAAGTTTTTTTTTTGAAAGCATAGTAGTGGAAAACGAGCTTTTCAAGGGAAAAATCTTCCCTACACCCTGCTACTTCCTATAGTCAACCAAATCTAAGAAATACCTTTTGACCTTGCGCACTCACACGATTTAAAATAACTTTTTACGTAAATCCGAAGAATTATGAAATTATCTATATTTCATTACAACGTGTATTGTTGTTTATCACTAATTTCAATTCGAATCCTTCAAACAAAGCAAAATATTTAAAAAATAACCAGTATCAACTTTTTTATTACACGTCGTTTCAATATGTCGCTACGTACCTTACCGTAGTGATTGGATGATTAAAATTCACTGTTATGCGAATAATCGGCAAAAATATTCAAATAATCGGTAAAAATATTCAAATAATCGAATCATTAATTTTTTAATGTATTATTTGCGTATAAATTTAAATAATTATTTATATATGATGACAGGTTTATTTTTTTTTTAGTTTTACTTTGTCAACATAAATTTGTGTAGCAAAAAACTCATGTACAAGGCCGCGCCGATAAAACCACTATTCAATCTCCCAGCATTTCGGAAGCTTACTGTGCGTAATTTTGTGATTTTGTGTTTGTCTTCTTATTTTGTGACTCGGCTTTAACTTTCTAGATTATTCCTTCTATATTAGTTGAAGCATGTGTCCATGTCACAAAGGATGATTGGGCAAAAGTGGTAAAAATATTGATTATGGATGACTTTGAAACAGACATTAATTTTGACTGCATTATTGAAAACCAAATAATAATTAATCTAAACAACGACAGCTCAACTAGTTGTACTGAAAGTGATTGACTAAATTTATTTTTAATCTAGTTTCAATCTTAAATTTTTATAAGTTTTCCTCTAGAAATAAGCAGTAACAATGAATACGACTGATATATCTTGTGTTTTATACTTTCCGTTTTTAATTTATTGTGATATTATTCAAACCAAACTGTAAATGATTGTCAACTATAAATAATCGATATCGATTTTTTTAAGAATTGAATATTGTACGTTCCCATGTTTTGGTTAGCATGCTTGGTGCAATAAGCCTGACAGCTGGCAAAATGTATTTCTTAGATTTGGTTGACTATATACATCAACATTTTTTTTTCTTAAATTATTTTGGGGTATTGTCATAATAGTTATATATATATATATATATATATATATATATATATATATATATATATAATATATGTAAAGTAATTAACGCTCTTTGAGAAAGTAGTTTGTTCAGAATCGTCTACTTAATCGATTCCTATCATTTTTAATATAGGTAATTTTTTATCCCAAAAATAATTAAAACTACGTTAATTACAGTCACACTAAATCTGTACAGTCAAAACAAACTGAAATGGACCGTAACTTAAGGCAATAAGACTTTTAAGAGTGCAGCTTTATTTGTATTATTACTAATTATGTCATTAAATAAAAATAAAGAAAAATGAACTTTATTTCAAGCACGTTAAAGTCTGTATTCGTGGATTTGTACTGTGACCACAACATTCTTCCGGAATTAGTATTACTAATTTGATAAATAATCAGTGCGTAAAAATGTTTAACTATAAATTAAGTGTATGTATTATGATTATACTACTACTACCTACTTATATATATATATATTTTTGACAGGCCTGTTGGTCTAGTGGTTAGTGACCCTGATGGCTATGCCGGAGGCCGTGGGTTCGATTCCCACCCAGGACAAATATTTGTGTGATGAGCACGATCATTTGTTCTGTGTCTGGGTGTAATTTATCTATAATATTTATGTATTTAGAAATATATAAGTATGTTTATCAGTTGTCTAGTACCCATAACACAAGCTCTGCTTAGCTTGGGACTAGATGGCGTTGTGTGATAGTTGTGGATTATTATTATTATTATTGGGTTATTAATAGAGTAATCACATCTGTTTGGGCTGGATAAATATATAAAGAGAAAAATAAATATACTTAAATATATATATTTAATATACTAACATAATATACTAACTTATATATATATATATATATATATATATATATATATATATATATATATATATAAGTGGGTAGTTGTATAATAATTATAAATTGAAAATCATGGTTTGGTTCGCTAAACTTATCGTGCACTACAACGACCATTTTACGGTCGATATAATCGTCCATCCGATCAAGTTATTCGGAACACCATGAATTGTTTTCGCACCTTCCACACTCTGGTGGACAATACGTATCCACATAGACGACAAGCAGTGTGCACAGAAGAAATTATTGCTTCTGTGGAGCGTAGTGCTTAGGAAAACCCGAATGAGTCGATTCGCCATCGTGCACAGCAAATAGAGATCCGTTTTGTGGAAGATTCTTCGAAAAGATCTTGCTTATATAATCCAGCTTGTGTAAGAATTAAAAACGCGTGACCATTATGCGTGCCGTACGTTCGGTGAAGGGGCCGAAACCAATATTCAACTTGATTCTCTTTTCATCGCAAATTTTAGTTCACCGATGAGTGAACCGATGACATTTTCGGTTAAATGGCTATTTCAATAAGCAGAACTTCCGGATTTGGAATGGAGAACACCCAGAAGCCTTTGTCAAGACGCCCTTATATCCATCAATAGTCACAGTTTGGTGTAGGTTATAGGTACGTGGCATCATTGGCCCATATTTTATAAAGATGATACTGGCCAGTATGTTACCGTCAGTGATGAGCTCTACAGAAACATGATCGCTGACTTCTTCGTACCTCAGTTGAATGGTATTTATATGACAGACCTTTGGTTTCAACAAGATGGCGCAACATGCCACTCGGCAGGCGCCACCATCAATTTATTGCGGGAAACATCGACCGCGGGAAAGATCGGGCATGTAAAGATAGAAAAGAAGAACGAGGATGCATGCGCGCGCTGTCCGAAGGCGGTAACTCAGTCATGCATTCAAGTCTGTGCACTTTAAACAATTTACACCCGTGGTTTTGTAGAAACGATTGTCGTCATAAAATGACGGACATTAGATTATGGAGCAAGAATCTTATAACAGAGTTCTTGGAAATATACAAGTATCATGCATGCCATCTTACATTTGATTAAATTTCATAATATATTAAAAATAGTATTTTAAAATAAATAAATCAATATTGATAATCTTTAGACCAGCAAACGTAACTGCTTGTGTAATATTCCTTCTAACCCTTTTGTTTAGAACACTAGTCTTCAGAATGCATGTTTAAGGGTCTCAGCTCAAATTCTAATTTCGCCTCCACTTCCCCGCGTGTCATATGCTATGTAACGACATGTTCGTAATCACTAATACTGTAAGTAGATAGTTCGTTAGATACTTATTTCATTAGGTTTATCATATTTATGCCTGTTTCTTTATGCCAACCCAGTCGCTTCTTATTTTTATACGGTCATTTCCCATTTTAATTTTACGTAGTCCTGTTGCGTAATTTGTATTCTGATCACAGTTTTCCCGTTCGAAAATTGATGTGAGACTGATCGGGCGGCAGGGAACAAGGTTCAAGACGCCGATAGTTTAGGTAATTTCTTTTTACAGTGAAAATAATGGTAATTTAAAAAATCATAAGTCCTGCTTTATAGTTCAGTTCAGTTAGTATGCAAAGTTACAAAATTTCCAAAATTCAATAATTTATGAATACCAGAGGTTTATTGTTCACTTTGGAGAAAACTTTGGATTTTTTTTCTATCGAGAAATTTTACGGAATCGTGTTTTCGTCTAACATATTATTACTTAGGATTAATTCTCAACTTTACCATATATTTATTTCAAAAGTAATGCTGCAATATTTTCGACATAACGAAGGATCTTGCTAAGCCATTTGAGGTAGCATAGACCCCTATTTCCCCTTAAAAAAGTCATACGCTCCAGGTGGCGGATGTTTCCCGTACTGAATCATGCGCGATTAGCTTTTACACGACGCTCCTTTTTTTCATTTGTGGTATAACCATGATGCAGTTATATTAGTATTATAGTTGTAGCACGAATGAGTCGGCTCGACCGGGGAAGGACCACGCTCTCACAGAATACAAGCGTAAAATAGTAGCTTAATGCTGCTATGTTTCGTATGGTGAGTGTAGAGAACTGAAGACCCTTTTTACTGAAACCGAGGCATTCCATCTTAGTCCTCATAGGTGACAACGCATCTGCATTTTGACTCGTAATTCAAGATAGATGTAGATATCTATAGGCCACAGCAACCACTTACCAACAGGTGGACTGTGTGCCCGTTTCTCACCCAATCCTATAAAAGAAAATACAGTAGTAATAGCGCACGAAAGAGTCAATGCAAATAAAAATGGATAAAAACAATCACTCACGATTGCACGTGCAAGCTTTTCCGCTTCCAATTGCGCACATTCCGATCGCGAGTGAAAGAACATGTCGTGTAAAGCTGATATCATATACATTAACATTATTTTAATATGTTTTACTTCATTTTGAATTTTTACACCCCTACAAAAACCCTTTAAATTAAGCACTTACGCTCTGTTGACCTAATAATGTCAAACCAAATTTGGTTTTGTTTAGGGCAATAAAGCGAGAGAGTGATCCGACTTCAAGTAATTCTCTTGTTGAATACGCAGATTAAAATTTTTAAGACATCCCGTCTTGCCCTGCTACAAAGCAATGAAAACTGGTATGAAATCCAACGACAATACGTATGCATTGGATGTTCATCTAGTACATTTAATTTTTTCCTGTTCATTTTCTTTTAAAGAGAGTTTGAATGTTTTGAGACTGTTACCTCATATAAGTTGTTCTTAGTTCAGTGTGAATGAAAAATCTACGGCAGCTAAGACACCCGAAGTTTGTACCAATCGAATGTCATTTATGTATTCTAAACTAATTTAAGCTGCATTGCACAATTCTTTACATTCATTCTTATCTAAATAATATCTAGCGTTTAAAATATTTGAAAGAGTTCATAAAGTCATCATAGTCAACCTACTTGACATGCATCTTTCCCCCCTTCTTCAAATCCAGCACAAATTTCCTTGCCAGCTTCATCTTCTTGATGCTTGCAGTGGCTCCAAATAGGGATTTCTACTTCCCGCATGTGATCAGCTGTAAGTGATAATTTATTTCCTAATTTACAAATTATTATAGGATTACATAAATAAAGGATGTATTATGTAAAAGCTAAAAAGATAGGTTATTATGGTAAAGGCAAGCTTTATTATATACTATTTAGCAATAAATGAACGAACAGTTCACTTGATGACATGTGGCTAATGGAGATTAAGAAAGCTACAAATGCATCATTAAGAAAAAGAAAATCATCTCTAAGAAAACACTCAAAACTACCAAGCTACAAAATAGAAGGATTTTTTTCTGCGTACGAGTCTGTCTGGCTCACTCTTATCTAATTCTGTCGCCTAATAGCAATGTTAGCAGAGAAGTGTTCCGATTTGAAGTATAAAGAGAGCTAGTTTAATTACAGGTTGTTAGGCATTCCATCTGAGACATGATACATGTAGCCTTCTCTGTTTAAAGTTGGCTGCAGACGTCTATGGACTGCAACGAGACAAACTCCTGGGCAGAAAAATAATCCCACCAACATACGTCAGTGTATATTACGTACATTTATTTTTGTATTCTAATTGGAAAGGTCTTGTTAAGTCTACCTTTTCTCAGCATAATGATTAGGGTGCAGGTCGCATTTGTAGCATTATTGGTATGAGTCTGAGGTAGCTTATGTTGCAACACATGTTGACATGACTATTTATTATAAGTTCAATTTAATGCACAATAAAAATTAATTTTTAAAGTTTGCTATATAATTACCACATATACATCATACACCACCATATTTTACTACATAATATAAATCAATATGTTAGTCAAAGACCAACATACTGATAAGAAGTTACTCTAAATTAATATTTAAAGGAGTGATAACGCTGGATACGTTATTTAGTATTTCTAGCTTAGCTTCATTAACCGATTACAAAACTTTGAGTAGCCCTTTTTCATTTTAAAAATAAGTTTTTAAAGAAGTTTTGTTTTATAGTAAAGTTTTAAGTAAAAATCCATTACGCGAGACGTGAATAGTGATAAAAAATATAACACACGTCTCATTATAAAAATTTAGTACTCTAAATAGTATTAAATGATATTTCAAAAAGCAGTTTAAAGTTATAAAATACTGTAAATTGTGTGTGTGGAAATAAGCTTACGATCTGGTCCATGTTCCACAGTAGCACCCCAACCGACAGCTATGCAGATAGTTCCTGGATCAGGACCAACTCGCCAATTAGGACCAGCCGTTTCAGGTCCAGGTAAGCAAATTGGCCGTACCCAACGACTAAACTGCATGCCAGGTTTAACCCGTAATAATGAAAGATCGTTTTTCATATCTTCCTGGTTATAATTTTGATTTACAATAACATGTGTGACGCGGTGATTTTGTTCCTGCGGTGAGAACGAAAAGCGTCGTAGCATGCCGACTTGTATTTCATAGTAATGCTCCCAAAACCTGAAAATTAAGTAATTTTATCGCTAATTGATTACGAGTAATTCACAAATTGATGGCGGAAGAGAATCCATCCATATTCGTATATGTCGTAAGGAACGAACAAGGGGAAACGCCAAAAAATCTAATTGCTTTCAATATATGGCTGTATAACTAACCTATTTGTGTGTATGTCAGACGTAAAATACGCAGACCGTTATTAGGCAACAGCCTTAAAAAGGCAATACGTCTGGTATTGCAATCGATAATGTACCTGTCGAGCGTGATAATTAAATGCTGCCTTCAACTATAATTTCATTGACCTTTAACGGGCCGATAAAAGAAAAGAAGAAGATTGCGAAACTTTTTTGACTTTAAAAATGTGCTCCGTACGAGTAAAGGCAATGTAGAAAAACATTTTGACTTTCACTTTGAAATCACATAGCTACAAGGCATTAACTTGTAGCCTAGCCTATATGTCCTCTTTAGGTAAATATCGATAACATAAATTTATGTCTGGAACAAATTATTCCTTTATTAAAATATACTTTTAAAAAAGCTTGATACTCTTACTTACTTGCTAACACAATGGGCTGCTGACATAACCCAGTGCTGGTTTAAAATGACGCCACCGCAGTGAAACATTCCGTCCCTGTACAAAGCTACTACCCAAGGCCATGCCGCTGGCTGACTAGGTCTTCCCCCGACAACTCTACTCTCTGTTCTTTTGTTTCTATTTTTATTCACGTGTGGTTTTTCCATTACATTATCCGCAAGCCTTTTCAATCGGTTACTATAAAACATCAGGGGGTATAGTCTTTTTTGAAGTAGAAACCTTTTATTACGGCCGTAAAGATCTCTCTCGATGGCAGCATTCTAAAAATGATTTAGTTAACTTAAATAAGAAAAACTGTCATCAATAGTTTTCTATACATCATACGTTACATTCACGTACATACGTTAGTACGTTCTATGCAACATACATTAATAACAAAAGAGTTTCAGTCCTTATTGTTGAAGATTGTAGGTAGCTGCAACCCATGAACGCCCGCAGCAACCAAATATAAATTCTACTCATGGTCAAGATTGAATGCCTTATAGCTTAAGTACTTTAGCATTCTTATTTAGGCGATCTTAGCCAAGCGGTGGGTAGTAGATAATTTAGATTCTTTCAAAAACTGGATAAGTGCAAGTAACGCAGATGGTTCATTCGTCTCAGGTACTATTGTGAAAAATATGTTCTCCCATATATGTTTTTTTATAGAATAAGGGTAGCAAACGAACACACAGCCTATCTGATGGTAAGTATGCTATGCGGTAGTCATAATAAGCTGTGGTGTCATCTTCAACTATTTTCATTTTAACAATCAAAATTTAGTTTATTGTCTATTTCCAGTAATAAGGTCCCCCTGATGGTAAGCAGATTTTGTTATCCCTAGGGACTAAGATCGAATTCTGGTAAAAGAGTTTCCGGTTCTTTAGAATGACCATACGTAATACAACAGCATTAAGCTGTTATTTTACTCTGGTATTCTGTGACAGCGTGGTCTTGCCAAAGAAAATAACGGAAAGACGGTCTAATAGACGTATAAACGAACAAAAAGTGAACGTTTTTTGCGGTACGGAACCCTAAAAAAGACGAAGGCAATATATTTTTCCCCTTTAATGTACTATTACGTACACTCTTAAAATCTACAATACACTGCTGTCTTTTGTTCTTACAGTACCGAATAAAATGTACTACAGTTGACCGCCAATTAATGACCACTTCAGTAAATGGTATTGAAATTTGTAGTGCTTTTGTGATTTGTATTTTGTAGCTTATCCCACACTAGACAAGCTAACGTTGTGGACTTATTATTTGTTATCTATATTACATAAGTAACCTTTATCTAATAGGGGGAGTATTTCTATGTTTCTAAGGCTTATAAATAGGATTATTTCATATTTAGTTATGATATTTTATTCACATAAATGTAATATGTAACATATTTAAATAAAACTACTTTTTACGGATCCCCGACGTTTCGAGTACTTTACAGCACCCATGTTCACGGGGGGGAGGGGTTACTGAGGTGCTCAACGTCCCAATGTCATAGTTAACCACAGCTATCTCGAGATTGAAATTATAAATTTTTGTTCCCACCTACGTAGTATGAATTGACTAGTTTTTTCTTAATGTGCAGTGTTTGCATGAATGTAAGAAATCATTAAATTTAAACATACCTGTCTTAATATCTGAGTGCTTGTTAGTAACCTTGTACCGCATAATAAGTTAGGGCATGTGACATAAACCGCAGATGTATTGAAGCATGTCCTACTCATATACATTAAACCCCCTGGGGCGGTATTTAAATAGTCAGCCCTTGTTAAGGGATCTATTTCAACTAATTGAATAAATGGTGGTCTGTAAAAAGTTAATAATTATCCATATTATATATCATTCATTTGAAAGTTTGAGTAGATGTACTCGTATGTCAATACTTAGTATAGCTTTACCTTATTATCAGACCAGTTTCTCGTCGACAAGCATCATGCGCCCACATATAAGGGTTTTTGCATACTGGATACCAAGTTCCCTTAAAGTTTCTGTGTAGAAATCCTTCCGTATTTGAAACAGCAAATAACTATGCGAAACGAAAACAAAAATAATAGTGTAATTTTATTCAATTATCATTAAAATATTATAATAATATTAAGTAATACTAAAGGATAATTTATTAATTCTCCGATAAAATTTATTTATAGGAAAAAATAACAACATAAACAAATTAAAAATTACTGTGGTGTGAATAAAAGATATCATTTGTTTTACTTTTATAACATTGTGAGTACTTTGATTATTAAATTATAATTAAACAACTCATATTACGAGTAGTTATTATAAACAATGTTCATCCACTACCCTGTATCATTCCGTGGGTGTCAGAATCAGGAGATGGGCAGAAGCGTCTTTGTAATAACGACTAAAAAATAAACAACTGTGGTTGCCAACCGTGGCAATTATGACAGATATCCCCCCCTATGAAGCAATCGATGGGGGAAGCCTATTCTGGTATATTCAGCAGTGGACCTTAGTAGGCTGTAATGGTAACGGTAACAGTAATTAATTTTGTTTAATAAAATGTATAAGCATTAGTTTGAAGCATAAGTCTGTGCTGTTTTAAAAGCAAATTTTAACACTAGCTTTTTAGCCGCGGCTTCGTTCGCGTGAGCTTTAATTTAGCAACATTAATATATATATATATAAATGTTCCGTTCTAAATTTGGCAAAATTCCATCACTATAAGAGTCACCTCGGTGTCTGTATCTTTTATCTTTATGTCTGTTTATAAAAGATTTTTTTGAATTCTCAAAGACTATTGAACGTACATGATTGATATTTGGCATAGATATAATGTTACAGGAACACTTGAATAAATAAGTTTTTTATAATTGAATTTACATCGTATATCTATAATCATCAGCTATTTTTATATCAGGTGTGTCTTCTACTTCTGCAAGACTATTTGCAAGAATAGTATTTGTTAACTATAACATCATTGCTGTAAGGTATTAAAAAATTTAAAGTTAAAATTCTTAAAATTAACTTCAATCCAAATGAATATCTATTGAAAGAGTGGAACGTACCACACTCATGAACGGAAGTAGAAGAATGTTCGACTTGTTGAGGCGGCGAATGAATGATAATGAATCCCAGGGATAGAAAGTTGAGGTGCGACTGGAAAGCCGCGAACATTTATTTATTATATAAATAAGGCATTAATTTCCAAAAACTTTGTGTTAAAAACATGCTACAGCGTTGCTAGCGGTGAAAAACAATTTGACGACATGATCATAATACCATCAAAACAATTTTGTTTAGTTATTTGAGTTTAGTATCGTCAAAACGATCTCTATTTATTGATTCGGAGAAGCTCTATTATGACAACATGGTCAAAAATAGTCTTAAATTACTATTACCATTTAATTAAATGACAACTACTTTTAAGATATAATTAGTCTACGACCTGACCACGACAAATATATAAAATTCTCTTTGATCAACCTATAAGAAAATGAAAATTTTGCAATTATTGCAGGCAGACCAGTTTAAATCAGTTTACATATACATTAGTAATTGAACTAAAATCATATCCAATTTCATATTTTTCATACTATATTATCTATTTAAATTACTTATTACAATTTTAAAATGAAATAACGAAAATGCCAAGAAATAAACGATCTGATTTTTAAATAATTTTGTAATTTTCATTATTTTATCATATGATGTAAGTTATTTAATTATATTTTATATTTTACAATATATTAGTAAGTGAAGGCAAAATGTACTTTTTCTATTTGATGTTAGATGGCGGTATTTTGAAAAATCAAATGTCGGCGTAGTTTCAAATTATTAAAAAAAGGTTAAAACTTTACTAAACTAATTTGAAACGTTATTTATAAATATGGTATTTATTTGAAGAAAAAAACACCAGTCAACCTGCATACTTGTAACTAACAAAATCATATATAATAGAAAATTAACATCTAAAGGAAGGAAAATACTTAACCTTCTTTTTAGAAGTTCCATAATCGGATAAAAAATAATAATAAAAAACCCTATAAGTTGCCCCGGGCTACTAACTACCCACATAGAACATTTGGTGCAGTAGTTTATGCGTGAATCTTGAATACACAGACAGACAGACAGAAAGACAGGTAGGCAAACAGACAAAAATTCTAAAGACCACTAATTTGGCATCAGTACTATTTACTTAGTCCTTGGACTTGTTTTTTCAAGAATATATCAGAATTATAGACACGATTTTTCTACAGATTTATTATATGTATAGATTATCCCTAGAATGAGTCCTGTCTTTGTGTAAAGTTATTATTACATTATTTTGAATTATAAATTACTTTTACACAACAGTATTACTATTATATATATAAAAATATTTAAAATATATTATATATATATATATATATATATATATATATATGTCGTTTCTATGTTAGACATGAAATCTAATATCAAAAATAAAATAATTATTGCCATAAAGAATTTTATGCCAATAACATCTTACCGGTTTTTTGTGTAAGCTCGGAGCAAGCAAGCTGCAGTCTAGTTCATCCTTATGATTAGGGCAATCGGGTATATTGTTGCATCTTTGATCCTTAGAGAAACAAGTGCTCTGAGAGTTTTTATCGAAATCCTCGCAACTGAACATATTTTCATTGCACCCTTATATTAAAAAGAAAAAGCATTTACGAACTATTTATAAGCTTAAATTAAAAAAATGAGTTCATGAGTATCCAACTACCTGATACTTTTTTAATTAGTAACCATTATACTATTCGGAGTGACTATATTTATAGTCAACCAAATCTAAGAAATACCTTTTGACGTTTCACATTAATCATTCCGCAATAACTTTGCATAAGCGTACTCATACGATTTACAATAACCTTTTACCGAAATCCGAAGAATTATGAAGTTATCTATATTTAATTAGGTTTTTTTATCGTGTTTAGTTTTTTATCGCTAATTTAAATTTGAATCTTTCAAAGAAAGCTTTAAAAAATAACCAGTATCAACTTTTCTACTTAATTTCTTATATTTACGCGAACACTACACATTGAAATAATACCAGTTTTTACGGAATTTATCGCGTATATTTAACTTTTTAAATACCCGACGTTTCGAACGCTTTACAGCACTCATGGTCACGGGCGGGACTGAGATGTTCAACGTCCATATGTCATAGTTAACCGCGGTTACCATAGATTAAAATTTAACTTTTAAAGTTCATACTGCATAGATCGGAACAAAAGTTAAATTTTATTAATTGTCAAGATTTGGCAAAAGTGGTAAAAAAAACAAAAAAAAGATTATGGATGACTTTGAGAGACATTAATTTTGATTGCATTATTGAAAATCAAATAATAATTAATCTAAACAACGACAGCTCAAGTAGTTGTACTGAAAGTGATTGAATAAATTTATTTTTAATCTAGTTTCAATCTAAATTTTTTATAATTGTGCCTCTAGTTAGCAGTTACAACAAATACGAAGAAACTGATAAATCTTGTGTTTTAAATTATCTGTTTTTAATTTATTATGGTATTATCCCAACCAAACTATAAATAATTACTAACTCTAAATAATCGATATCGATTTTTTTAAGAATCGAATATTGTACGTTCCCATTTTTTGGTTGGCATGCTTGGTGCAATAAGTCTGACAGCTGTCAAAATGTATTTCTTAGATTTGGTAGACTATAATATTCATGCATTTCAGCATACAGTTATAATATAAACAATAACGCAACTTCTATTACCATAGCATCCCATTTCATCTTCCCCAAAAGGGCAATCAAAATAACCATCGCAAATTCTAGATTTATCTACTCTTGACTTGCAACTACACCGAGCTTCATCACTGATATCAGTGCAATCAACGTTTCCATCACACCACTGATTCTCAGAAATGCAAGTTTCACCGATCAAACAAGATCTCGTCCCTTCTGGGCAAGTGACCTCATTTGTGGTGGAGTTAGAAGAATGTTCTAACGAAGTAGGCTCCGATCTGTAATTTGAATACATATTGGAAAATCATAGCAACAAACGATATAAACATTTATCATCATATTACTGTGCTTCTTTCTTTTAGATCTTATATATTAAAACGTTCTACTATAATTGTTATTATTATAATCTAATATGATTTTTACTCTTTTAAAAATTGCATTGCAATTTCAACGTCTTGGGGATGAACTTTGTGCTTTTCTACGTCGCCAAGTCTATAAAATGGTGAATTCATCACAGAGGCAGCGTATCTGCAACATTAAAATATTAATCTTTTTTCTTTTTAATAATAAAATGTTACATTATTATAACAAACAAACATATAATTACTTGTCCATAAACCTTGTGGAGTGTGGATGAGCATACGACGCAAACTCTGCATTCGTATTGTCATAAACACCTACAAAATAGTAAAAAAGGTTTAAATGCTTCCATATTTCTTAAAACAATTATATCAGGTATTGAGAAAAAGTACCTTGCAAATGGGGATAGCTTTGCTTTAAAAGACGAGCCAGAAGACAGGTGTCGGTTAGTTTTTCACGCGGATATTCGTGTTTGTGTAGAGTAGAAGAAACATCATTTCCATTTAAGAGCTCCAAAGATTTGTCACCTCTTGCATCTAATGTATCTCGTTTAGAGATATCAGTTGAAGTCTTTTCACCAAACACATTTCTGTTGTTAAAAATATATTTATCTGTATGATCTTTCTTGGCTGTTTTATCATTTTCTGCATTTCTTGTCAAAAGCCGCAGCTTTGAAACCAAGTCTTTGCATACATCTTGGTGATTTCTTTCGCTACATATCATATTATGCTTACTTATAATCTCCCTTGCTTTCTGAATATATGACTCATCAAATACCATGTCTCTGTTTTGATTATTACTATCACTAATTTTAGCCGCTTGTCTGGGCAACTGTCTCTTTTTTCGCTTTCCTGGGTAATTTGATGTTTTATTGCGAAGCTTTAAATGAATTTCGACATCATCTTGAACTAATGTTATATTAGAATTTTCATTAATTTCAGAGAAAACTATTATTTCAGAATTTCTAAAATTATCTAAAAAATATTTTATCATTAATTATAAAATTATTATGCAGTTAAAATATAGTTAAAATTTTCAGGGATTGTGCCTTAGTTTAAATATATTATCTTATACGCTCTATTTTTATATTTCTTGTTTTTATTTTGCTTACTAATTTAATTTGAACATGTTTCAAGATATACCTTTTTGAATATTTATATATTTTATGTAGATTCCTGTGTCTGTTCAATATAATTATGGACGGTATTAAAGGTTAGAAACTTTATTATTACAGCGTAAGTTGAAGAATGTGGGTTAAAAATAGGTTAATTATCCGTTAAATGCCTATTGTTCGCAGATAAAGTCATACTTACGTCATCGGTGGGCGAGTTGCAAATTATGGTTACGTATACGAACGCAAATAAAACAAAAGTGTTGGTTTTGGAAAGAGAAGAAAGTAAAACCATATGTGAAATTGGAGTATAAGGGGTGTTCGTTGCGTAAGAGGATAAGTTCGTGTATTTAGGATTCAGCCGGAATGGAAGATATGTTTTTTTATATGAGAAGCGGCAAACGAGCATGCGGCTCACCTGCGATTGCGGGAAATTGCAGATGCTTTGCCGGCCTTTTGAAAAGGCAAAGGCGGTGAACCTCGAATCGTGACAAAACACCTTAATTTTTGGAACTGAAAATTGAGTACGACGATAAAAGCTCGAGTAGAATTAGTATAGTAGAACAAATGCTGTATAAAAAAGAAGAAGAATAAGGAATATATTACGGATAATTCTGAATGACAGGGGCAAAATTGTTAAGAAAAAAGTATGGTTTGCAAAAAGATGTTGAGACCAGGATCAAAAAAGAAATGCTATGGTAATTTGGTCATGTACAAGGAAATAATGGAGAAGTGTGACAAAGCAAATTTATTTTTTTGAAGTAAATAGCAGAGTTGTTAAGCAACCCTAGATAGATGTTTATCGACTAAATTAGCGTCACGTTGAAGATAGGCCAAATTTAGAGTATCCTAAACCGACAAACATATAATACTGTGGGAAAAAAATAGTAAGACTTTGTTCATAATTTTAAAATTCTTGATTTATTCTACCAAATCTATTTCGTGCCCCTCAAAGTAATCCCCCTCGGCCGCAATACACTTATACCAACGTTTTTGCCAATCCTCGTAACAGTTGTTAAAGTCAATTTCCGGAATAGCCTTCAATGCGCGTAGCGATTCACGTTTAATGTCTTCAATTGACTCAAAACGGTTTCCCCGGAGCGGTCTTTTGTGTTTTCTGAACAGCTAGAAGTCGCACGAAGCTAAATCAGGCAAATACGGTGGTTTTGGAATGATATTGGTTGAATTTTTGGCGAAAAACTCACAAACTGTCAATGCAGTATGCGACGGTGCATAATTTGTGGTGAAAAAACCAAGAGTTGTCGGCCCATAATTCCGGATACGAATCTTTTTACGAATAGTTTCGCGCAAACGACGCATAACACTCAAATAGTATTCCTTGTTGAGAGTTTGGCCGGTCGGAAGGAATTCGGAGTGCACCACACCTCGATAATTGAAGAAAACTGTCAATATGGTATTTTCGGCTTCGGCTCACCTTTGGCACGATATTCGGCCGATTGATCATCTGTTTCCGGGTCGTAAGCGTAGATCCAAGACTCGTCGCCAGTTATAATATGTTTTATGACATCCTGGTAGTCGGAAAGCATTGTTTTACAGACGTCACGCGACGCTGTTTTTCAAGAAAATTGAGTGATTTTGGAACCAATCGTGCATTCACTTTTCTTAGGCCCAAATGGTCTTTTAAAATGGTTTTCACTATCTATGTTTTTTACAGGTTTTTGATGGCCTCTTGACCCTTTCTTTGAATAATTTGTACCAATCAAAAACACTTGCTCGCGACATAAAATTATCACCGAAGGCTTTTTCAACTTTTATAGAAATTTGATTCCGCACACAAAATTTAATGGAACTTCTTTGTTGAATAATTTCACTCAAAAATCGCTGAATGCACTTTTTGTACTTCAGAAAGACAAGCGTCAACTAAACACTAATGATTACATTCATGTGATATTTGGCACAGATGTCACTGACGGTCATACCAACGTAGAAAAAAAATTTCGATGAATGGATTTACGCGCGAAATTTAAATTAAAAAGTCTTACTATTTTTTGCACACGGTAGTATATACGAATACGTAGAATTAGAAGAAAGGTGTGTCAGAATCATGCCAAATGGAGGTCCGTAATCTCTGCGTATCGCTCTGTACATATACATACGTGAGTGTTTTTGCATTTATTTTATGTTCTTTTGAAAATAATCTGAAATACTAGCATTCCCCCATTTTACTTTATATTATTTAACTTTATATACACTATGAAACAATACTCACCATCACAATCTAACACCTTTAAAATTAAAATATATATTCCGCCTGCCATCATGGTTAAAACAATTATGAAAATAAGTTTTTGTAAAACAGGGTAAAAGCATCTGTGATATATTTTGCGACCTGTAAAAATAAATCCAGACGTGAATTATAACTAAAAAGGTCTACGCTAATGCTTGATCTAATTTATTTACTTATAATATAAAATTCAATAATTATTATTGAGATTTACCACTTTCATTAGATTCCGCTAAATCCATAGGAAGCAATCCAACTTGACTGTTGTTACTTTTTAGTTTATTTACTTCAACCATGGTTTTTGAACAACAACCCTTTTCCCTTTGTTCTGGAAATTGTAATAGACACAGTTAATTTTACATACTGGAAATAAATGAATAAGAGCTGAGGGCCACGGGTTCGCATGCCGCACAGAGCAAGTATTTGTATGAACTATAACTATTAATATAACTTTGTACAGGTAATTGTTCCGGGTCTCGATGTTTGTCCTTGTGCAATTAATGTATGTAAACTGCATCCACGATTCAGGAAAAATATCCTACTGTGGTGGTAATGGTAAATAAAAAAATCCAATAGAAGTAGATTCGTGCAAAGACTCGGAGATTTTATATTTAGTATTATTGTTTTCCCGTACCTTTGGCGCTGCATCCAATAACATAATTAAGTCGCAAATGGGATTATGAGTGATAAAAGGCAATAAACAAAATATAAGAAAAGTTTCAGTAGGAAATTATTCATTAATCGAATGTATGTGGTGTGAATATATTTATATATAAATGTATATATGCTGCGTATGAGAATACAGAATACCATCACGTCCTGTTGTCTACGAGACATAATATATCTCGTTGCCTCGTAATATCCGAGACGACAACGTCAAATTCTAGCCGGCAAAGGAAATCAGCGTCAAAAATACAGATAATGCAAATCCGTGACGACTATAGTCTGTTCACTAAGGAAGTGTCGGTACACACGAAGGCCCACGTGTTATTTTGCTTTTATTTTATTATTTTTACTATATTTGCTAAATTTATGTTATACTATTCTTAGAATTATTAAGAATTATGGTTCTTGTAATGATCTTGAATATAAATGATAAACACAATTTAGTTAGCAAAGAAACTGTCACTACGGCGTTTCGTTTTAAAATACCAAATTCTTTTTTTCCGATTTTGCCGATATTTTGTTTCCCACATAATTGTCATAGATCCTTTTATCATAATATAAAATTTTAAAATATTTCTCTGAAAACTTTTTGTTTTATTTGCAATTAACATCGTGCGTTTTGGTTAGACCACCCTATATTTAGTTTACATATTTATTACACAAATACATGAATATACACATTAATTTTAATAATATTATACTTATATTAAAATTGCAAATATATTAACTAAACAACTTCTTAAAACAGCCCTTATTTTAGCACTCTTCTTACGTCATGACCTGAATTCTAGAGTTGTATTGTCTAAATAGTATAGGAGTTGTTGGTTTACCTAGTGAAATGAGATGAAATGTTAATCTTAAAATTGGATGAGGGGCAAACAAATTAATCATGATTATCTCAAGTTGACTTTACAGGGAGTTTACGCTTGAGATATTTTGAAGTAGTTAAGGTGTTAAAACTTGAGAAAAAAACAAGCAGATTAATTGATCTAAAAGAAGAGACTAAAACTACAAGAATTTATTTGAAAAATGTTAATTTTCAATACTTATGTATGTAATATTGCACACCTCGAACGCGAAGCGGAAAGGTTGGACTTTACTGTCGAATTTTTTAAATCACTTTTTTCACTCACATTAAGTCGTGTTGATTATTTCACATCGCACTAATATGTTAAGAAAATAGTAATTAACAATCTAGATACTTTTTTTTCAATTCAATTTCAAAAGATTTGTATTGTGATGTCCTTTAGTTTGTGGTCCATAAATTTTATGCGTACAAGAAATCTCGAGAACTATAGCCAATATTTTTTCACTATATTTAGAAGCATGTTGAGCTGGTTCCTTTATATAATCACTTCTATAATAGATTTAAAATATTACATGAGCGTTTTTTGGGGTGTACACTTTTGAATTTTCCAAATTTTGTAATTATTGTTATATTTTAAATTATGTACCAATTGTAGTTACTAGAAAAATCGATCTTTTATTATGCTACCAAGTAAATATATTCTAGGCAGTAACAATCACACATCCTGCTGGTTTACTTTTGGTGCTAGTCTTACTAAAGGCAGCAGTATTTTGAAAATGGACCACATTAGGAGTACTCTTAACTGACGAGCGTGTGTGTGTAGTTAAATGAATGTAAAGGAGGCGAGAGAGGTGTGTCAGGATCTTGCCAAATGGAAATCCTACCCCTCTGGGTGACAGGCGTGAGTATTTATTTTTTATGTTTAATAAAATCACTCTTTTGCCAATAAAGAAACTTTCTGTGCCAAGTAGTGGGACTATGTAGGCTGTTATTTTAGCTTAATTTTTAAAATCGTTTATTTTTTATAATATATTATTACATTCTTAGTTTAAAACTAAGTTTAACTGAAATTAAAAACGTAGTGTAATATTTATTCAGAAGTCTCATAGATTTACAAGGTTCAGTGACTTTATTCTATCTTTTTCGTAGTTCGTATGTAATTTAATTTAGAGTCGGAGTGGACTGTTATGGCATAAACAATTGGTATGATTGGAAGAATGATAAACAAGACTAATAACACTTAGGAAAATATGACTGTCATTGCAATAAAATGTCGTAGCAATAACAGAAATCGACGTTTGACGCTATTAGAAAAAATAAATACTAACTTTACTATACTAGCACTTCGAGAGAAAACTTTTTCTTTCAAGTATTGTTTAATACATGTCAAATTCCTACATAAGCGCATCACCAATAATTCTAAGTCCGTATCAGTTTACAATTATTTAGGTATTAACCATATTATTATTGTCCATCAATAAAATTATTAAAACTACTCACATGAATATTCCGAAAAAATAAAATAATCTTGCGATATATTTTACCGATACAATGTGTTCATGACTTAATTAAACAAAAGGAAGCAAGTCTAAAGTCACTAGCACCACGCCACGACAGTCACTGGTGCGATTTTGCTGATCGTAATGCATGCAGTTAAGACTGAAATCGCCAGCTAAGCGTTTCGTTGAAATGATTGTAATAATAGAAGTAACAATTAACTTGAAGAGCTTACACACATTAAATTAAATTAATTAAAACACAAGATCGGAATGTTAGCCTAAATGGACAAATTTTTAAATTTTCGAGCTTAAAATAAGGAATCACTGTCGTGAACCACTCCTTACACAAGCGTTTCAAGCTTACCAGGAGTGGTTAAAAGGAATATTAGTATTGTTAATTAATAAGATTGCTAATATTTTTTAACTTAAAAAAATTGTAAGGGGGTACACTACACTTTCTTTTGCTTACTGGTACTAGGCTGTAACTCGACAGCCTTTCGTCTAGTTTTAATGTGGATAAACTCATGGCGAAGTTTATCACGGAAAAAAACTCCGAGACGGTCTTCTCCATAGCTAGCTGAGTGATTTGAGCTTCCTCATTCGCCTTATTGTGAAGAACAACGTCTCAGATCCCTAATATGTCATCACTGGCAACATGCATTGGTTGGACAATCTTGTGTTTTAAGTTTCAAGACATCAAGTGATGAGAAAATGTGTCATAGTCTCCCGAACGAATCGAATAGAAGTTAGATTTACTCATTGAACAAAACTATTATTTACGGATTTTATCGCGTTTAATTACTACTTTAATTTATATTTATTATCGCTAATCATATAGCTGACGTGAAGCACCGACGCTCCGGGAAGTCTGCAGTCTGCGAACATGTTCAAGATCGTCCCTACCATTACAATAGATTTGATAAACCACAAATCATCGCAAAAGAACACCGACTCCTACCAAGGATGATACGCGAGACTATTGAAATTAAACATCCAAATTTCAATAGAGAAGATGGATGGGTGCTGCCATCTGCTTGGGATCCTATAATATAACAAAATTAAACCCAAACCTAAGCATACCACTGCAAGACTTCATGATACTATAAGCTCGTTATGCGTAAATCGGACCAAAAATTTATATTCAAAAACTGAAGGTATCCGGACTTACTATGACATTGGTACGTCAAACATCTCTGTTCCCCCTGTGACCATGGGTTCTGTAAAGCACCCGAAACGTCGGAATAGTAAAAATAAATTAAAGTAGTATTAAACGCTATAAAATCTGTAAATAATAGTTTTATTCAATGTGTAATATAAATCATTATTAGATTTACTCAGTTTGAAAATTTGTCACTGTCAACATACTCGTCAACAACATTGAGCCTAATGCTCCCCAATTACTAACAACATGGACACATGTGCAATGCACTTCTGCTCCATTGGTCTAAGTAGTTAAACCATAGAGGACGGAATTGAAATGTTTCTTCAGAAAATCGCTTTTCAACATCACAGCTGTCTGTAGAACCTCTTTGTTTCATTTAAAATTTCCGATATCCCGGAAATGACGCTACCAAAGTCGCTCTGCAACCTTAACAGTTGGCTCTTTCCTACAGACAGACAACAAAATGTCTGGTCCCTTTTGCCGTCATATCTGTTTAAGACTGCAGCTTCATTTCCTGTCTAACAGCCAAGCCTAAGATTAAGAGTGTGATCGGAAAGTTTTTGCGTTCTTCTGCTTATGCTCTTCTATCAAAGTCCACTGCTGAAAATAGGCCGCCCATCGATTGCTTAATAGGATGGAACTTATACATATATAGCTACGCTTGAGAGGCGGGTTGACTATAACAGTTATTTTATTATTTAGAGATCATGAAGATGCTGCTGCCCTTCTCTTTTGTCAGATTAATAATGTAATATCTTGGTTGATTTATTTTATATGAATATAATTAAATTAAGGTAATAGGAAAAGATACCTAACATAGTCGTATGCCGCTTCTTCCTATAGTCGATCTATGAAATAATGTACTAGATGGTATGCCGCCATCCACCAAGAGCCATGAGATTTTTAACATTTACTAAAGTCGATTTTTTGAATCTAAACTGTTAGTTTCACGGGCCTCGGACTTAGATTCAATTTTAGGAACCAGAACAATCGAGCTCTTTAGCTACTTATTCACGTTGTTGTGAATTAAGATATTGTAAACATTCGATATAAATCTACTTTAGAAAGAATACACAATTCATTAAAAATATACCAACAAGGTGTTATTTTTACATCGTTAACAATTTTTACCGTTGTACAAAGTGTGTCAGCTGATTCATC